CGACTCCGACTCCGACTCCGTCGCTAGTGAAAACCAGCCTTTACAAGGGGTTCCAAATATAGTGTTTTGACTTGGAACCTTTTAGTATTTTGGAAAACTGGTCGCTAAGGAGAGGTGATCGCTTACGAGAGGTGGTCGCAACCAGAGGTTCCACTCTAGTTGAATAAGAGTTAGGTTAAAGACTTAACTGGCTCCCTAGAGTAATCGTTTTGCTACTGTTCTGTCTTGAAGGGTGGTTTTTGCGTTCCTTTTTCCTTCCAGTTTACTCAGATCAACCAAAAATTAATAAGTAATGATAATATAGGGTTTACAATTATCTCTGTTAAAATAATGGCTTAAAATATATCAACAGAACATCGACCAGGTCACATAAGATTTTGCACACGACAAAAGTTGGGCTTATACAGGCAGTTTTTACGTTGTTGGAAATTTGAGGAAAAAAAAAAAGACACTAGTCCAACTTTCCTGAAAGTTCACGGAAAAGCAACACGGGAAAATGTACTATCAGTTTTAAGCTTTTTTGTGGTCTTGTAGTTGTACACCCCTACGAGTTTTGCTTGTACGTTCGAGTGCTTTACTGTGATTATCTATTCTATCAGTCCCTAGGTGGCACACAAGGCGGGCAACTACTAGAGAGCCTCCTGGCAACTCTTTTTTCCTAGTTACACATTCCTTTCCTTTTCTGCCATTCATCACCAAGATGTTGCTGATCTTCCACCACTTGTCCTGCATGTACCCTTTGGAAGCCACGTCAATACTTTTCTAGAATTCCAAAATGTACCTTCACTTGCTTCAATGACCGCATCCCATCGTGGCTTCCACCTGGCTTCCACCACCGGAGATCATATTACATGCATATTCCTCTTAAGGGGTATTGGTCTCCGCTGCTACTGCTAGAAATTTACAGAAAAGTACAAGTCGGAACCTCAAATTATTGTTAATTAATCACTTCTTTTTGTATTTGCTCGTTTAGATCAGAGAGAAGGAGATCATGAAAATGTGGAAATGGTAGTGATTCATCCCCGGGATCGAGCACAAGGTAATTTGTACTACCTGTTTAAAATTTGAACCCGATTGTAAGCTCTTTCCTGATTTATGGTCATATTAGAACGGCAGACAGAACTCATGAGACAGTTTTGTAACAATTTTTTTTTTATATGAAACACTCGAAAGTACTGGTGAAATCAAAGTGATGA